CGAGAAGGACGGGACACAAGTTTGGCGAGGGCGAGGATCTTGCTGCTGCAGGCGAGAACAAGCGCAAGCGGAAGCTCTTCGAGGACAACGACAACGACTCCCCAGGTCCCGCAGGTCGCAACATCGAAATGGGCGTGGGCTCGCCATTCCACGTAGCCAAAGCAAAAACCATCAACGCCCAGTTCGAATCAGCTGCATACTCGGTCGACCGCCTCTTCACCGAGAAGGAGCTCAACATGGCCATGAATCAAGCCACAACTGCCGCCTCACACTTCTTCACCAAGATGAAGAACGCCGATGCGGGCGCACAAGAAGCCACCACCAACGGCCATGTCACGAATGGCCAAGGCGCAAACGGCGACCACGCCTCCGAGAACGGCGACATGATGGACCAGGACCAAGACTCAGACGAATTACCTGGCGCATCCGACATGACGCGCCAGATATCCTCCAATCCGCACGCGACTCGGGGCGCCACACGCTCGGCCTTCAATCCGTCTGCGGCTGCCGTTGCCAATGGCCACATTCCCTTCATCTACAACCCGCCATTTGTTCTCGACGCCAAGGTGTTCCAAAAGGCTAACGCTGCGGCGCCCCCGCCCCCTGCACTATCGGCTCAGGATGTGGACCAAGATCTCAAACTCATGCTTCGTGACGCACCGCTCGACGACGAACTCAACGAGAAACTCCTCCAAGCTGCATGCCACCCCATCAAAGCAAGAGACTACCAAGTCCAAGCACCAGGATTTCAAGAACCTGTCAACGAGATCACCAGCCATGTCAGGACCATGGTGCCGCATCTCGAGGTCGGCAACGGCGGACTGGGCATGGGTGGAGTGCCCATGAGTGCTCAGAGTTCCATGGCTGGCTGGAGCGACGCGGGAGGCAACACGCCAATGGGACGACATGGCGAGAATACATCTGGGCACGGGGGAGGTATACCAATGGCAAGGACAGCGAGTGGGAGTGGAAGAGGTCGAGGCAGGGGGAGAGGTGGTGGCTGACCAAGCTGATCTTTCCTCCTTCCTGTACCTCGCACTTAGTCTTATCTCTCCGCACTATAGCTGCGTTTTATACCCACGGCGTTTAGGCATTGGGACCTGCATTGTGATAGGCATGGTGTTTGTCCGAAGCATCATTCATGGCTTATGCTACTTTTGCGAAAGGGAATGGCGTTTAGATTTCTTAGGTACATTGCATATCCACATCTCACGTTCATAGCAAACATCAGCACACTCAAGGACAGTGGACTTCATTTCGGACGAATACAATCAGTTCAACCAAACTCCTTACCCCTCCCCATCACTTCATCCCCTGCACTCCACTTCACCTAAGCACAAGTCGTGAGCACCAAATCCAGCTCCCCCTTGAAATGGGCAACATGGTTCGGCCCCGGCTCTCCCTTCCAGACAATCGTCTCCGCGCCCTGCAATACATTGTCAGTCATCAACACATGACACACATCTCCTTCTTCCTCGCTCATCCCTCACGAATGCTCACTCACCGTCTTCTCCCCATCCAGCACAACCACCTCTCCCCACCAGTCGTAACCATTCACGGTACTCAGATCATACCAGACCTCGCCATTCTTAACCGTGTACCCGAAATTGAGCACAGGCTTGCCGGCCCACAGCCCGTCGCGCGTCTTTGTAACCTTGAGCGCTGTCCCCGTGATGCCGTCAAACCATTCATCTTGCACAATGTAGCTGCCAGGGCCAACGGTTGTGACGCCTGGTGGGGAAGGGAGGAGAAAGATAATTAGTGAGGCTCTTTGGGGAAGCGGTGTTGATTGGCGGGAGAAGACTTACTGTAGAAAGGTTAGGTGGACAGTTTCGATTGGATTGGGATTGTTTAGAGTGATCTGCTTACCTGTCGGGCGAGGGGGCGTTGGCGTCGTTGGCCGAGTAGTATACAGGGTAGGAGCATTTGTTGTGGAGCGTTGTTTCGGCGACGGCAGAGGTGAGGCCGGCGGTTAGGAGGATGGGAAGGATGGGGGAGGAGAAGAAGTACATGGTCGTGGTATGGAGGTGGTGAAGGAGGTGCTGGGAAGATTGTTTTGTGTATATGGGTTATTAGATTGTGCTCGGTTGTGTTCAAAACTGAAGACTTAGAGGAAGCTTGGGAGAGGGTTGGAGATGGCAGATGTATCTGGCTCTTATATTGTGAGAGAGCCTTCCAAGATCGCAGCTTGTGAACTTTCCCGATCTATTGACGGCCTCATCTTGAAGCTAGGATTCATTAGTTCTTCTTGTTGTGATACCACTTCGACCAAGATTCCCTGACAATCCAATAGCGACGGCTGTAGCGTAGGGACGTACTGCAGTAGCCCGTACTATCTGCTTGTCGATGTGTGGAGGGGCGAGTCAGCTGTTATGTTCTTGTCGGTGTTAACCAAGTACAGATCTATATCATTTGTTCGATTTGTGGAACAGATAAGAGGTTCTGCGACCCTAATACTAACTCTTCGATACAGGTACCATCAGTTGTGACACCTGTAGCATGCGGAATGAATGGTCAGTCGACAGTGTGTATGAAGACAGAAGCGAATCAGAGTCATGGAAACGTTCAACGAGAAAGTGGTCTCTTGGAGCTTTGATTTTCCGAATTGATGTTTGGGAATTGCAGCCAATACTGCCGTGGACGAGGGTTCATCACACCTTGTACGAGTGTTGCGACAACATACCTGTCACCTGTCAAAATGCGGGTGATGGGGTCTGCATCAACGCCCCATCACCCACAATTACGCGGCCTGGAGCACCCTGTCCCAAGTGTAAAGAAGCGGGACCATATTTGTGTCTTCTGTGGTCACTTTGGTGATCATCGACACTCAAATTCATGACGGGTCAGAAAGCGGGTCCTTCTTCGCTTCATGATACCCGCGATGGCAATCGCTGATCAAGCGCTCGAGCCGCAATCCCATCTACACTATAGCCAGCAAAGAGAACAGGATTGTGGGTTCTAACATGTTGCTCCAATTTGCATGTGAAGAGGTGTGTTTTGTCCTCGTTGCACGGGGAAGGCACACCATCGACGACAGGAAGTCCACGTGTGCATCCACTGCATATTAACACTTGAAGGTATGATCTGCTGCCAGAGACGATGTTCAGAGCCTCTTTTCTTTCTACAAAGATGCCAACGCCACGAAAATAAGTCGTCGAGGTCGTCGACCAAGTGGCAGGGATAGGCTCTGTGACGTCTTAAGCCGGTCCGTGCCGTGCTCAGACACCTCGGCACAGTACCAACATACTCCACATTCCGGGGTAGATCCGATGTCTCTGGTCCAGCGGAAACTCGCCGCCATGTGAAAGTCGCTATTTCGACTCGCTAGAGCCCTTCTTCTCCGCAACTACTTGTCTTCGAAAGCAATATTGAAGTCTAAGCCATGTCCTCCGCCGCTCTCCGCACATCCATGAAAATGGCCTCCCGGCCGCAACAAAGACTGGCTAGCATTCAGAGGCAGTTCAGCAGCTCAGCACCAGCACGGAAGGAGATTAGAGATGCGTACATCATAAGTGCGAGTCGGACACCGACTGCAGTGGTGAGTATCTGTGATTCATCTCGGATGTGACAGCAGCTTACAATGGCAGTTCAACGGCAACTTCACCACCGTCTCCGCCACACAACTTGGTGCAACCGCCATCAAGGATGCCCTCGAAAAGTCAAAAGTTCCTGTATCCTCGATAGATGCCGTGTATATGGGCAACGTGCTCGGTGGAGGAGTAGGGCAGGCACCGGCACGACAAGCTGCCATCTTTGCTGGCCTCCCCACCAACATCGAGGCCACTACAATCAACAAAGTATGTGCGTCTGGCCTAAAGGCTGTGAACATTGCTGCTTCGACTATTGAGCTTGGTCAGGCGGAAGCACAGGTTGCCGGAGGTATGGAGAACATGACAAGAGTACCATACTATCTCAGCCGCGCAAGCCAACAGCCGGCTTTCGGACACCAAAAGCTACAGGACGGCTTGATCGCGGATGGTCTATGGGATGTCTACAACCAGATCCACATGGGCAATTGTGCCGAGAACACGGCCAAGAAACACGAGGTATCACGACAAGACCAGGACGACTATGCCATTGAGACATATAAGCGAGCACAGCAAGCTTACAAGGATGGTCTATTTAAGGACGAGATTGTACCTGTGACTGTCAAGGGCAGGAAGGGCGATACCGTCATCTCTGAAGATGAACAGTACAACAAACTCAAGCTGGACAAGGTGTCAACACTGAAGCCTGCCTTCGAAAAAGGACCCAACGGCACTGTCACCGCTGCAAACAGCTCCCCACTGAGTGACGGCGCGTCGGCACTCGTTCTCGGTAGCAAGGAGATTGCACAGCAGTATGGCAAGGACAGCCGCGTACTCGCTAAGATCATTACGTATGCCGATGCTGCTGTTGGTAAGTTTCATCGCCCCCTCACTCCCAGAAGCGCGATGCTGATCCACCGCAGACCCCATCGACTTCCCTATCGCGCCCGCCTCGTGCGTTGAGAAACTCCTCAAGCAATCTGGCTTGAAGAAGGAAGACATTGCCATTTGGGAATTCAATGAAGCCTTCGCTGCAGTCATCAAAGCCAACGCAAAGATCCTCGGTCTGGGCTCAGACAATGTCAACCCTCGTGGAGGAGCTATCGCGTTGGGTCATGCCCTTGGAAGCTCAGGTAGCAGGATATTGGTAACGCTACTGCACCAGCTTAAGGTTGGGCAATACGGAGCTGCAGCGATATGCAACGGAGGTGGCGCGGCGACTGGAATTATCGTGCAGAGGGTCAGTGCTGATCAACTGTAAGATTGCGGAGGAACAAAAGTAAAGATGACCCAAATAATTGAACGAATCAAAAGTTACAATGATACCATTATTCAGAGTTGGGTCTAAGGGTAACTCCAAAGGTCGTTACAAGTGTGCTGCCACGTGACGCGATTAACCACTACCAGCCCCTCGACGCCCAGCAACAACACAGCTAGTACCTTTGAAGTGGCAAAAAGAACACCAAAAGAAGACGGCGCGAGTAGGGTTCGAACTGCCAAGTACGTTAGTATCAACCGAATATCATAGCGTGAGAGTTTGCAACTCACCCTACGCTCCCAAGGGAACAAGATTTCAAGTCTTGCGCATTAACCACTCTGCCATCGCGCCTGTGGGGTTTTGTATTGCCCAGCTCAAGAATTACAAAGATTGTATCTGCGAGAGCACTTGTTATGCTCAGTATCGTGTTTGTGGCCTGTTGCACGAGATGTGGTACAGTGAGGTGGGGACACCGGGGAGGTGATACCATGGAAACAACACAAGTCTATATCTTGCCTATAATATTATCAGATCTAGGTTTATTGAAATGTCTTGCAACGCGTGGAAGATAGGCCGTGTCGTGCCATTAAAAGTAAGCCGAGGTGACGCCCGCTGGTTTCGAAAGTTCGTGTGCCCGCGAGCCTGGTACGAGAGGAAAGACTCGATGCAAACTCATATCCATATCCCGTAAATCTAAAAGGACTTTTACTCGCTCATCCCCTACGCTCCTCCAGGGTTTGAATGATCCCGCGCTAACAATTTCCAAACATGTCCGTCTCCATATCAAAATCGAGATCCATATCCATGGCAAAGTTCATCTCCTCATTATCCCACGCCATCACATCCTCCGCCGTGGCATCCATACTTGGCATTGTGAAGCCCGCCGTGCTAATAGGAATCGTCGAATGGAACCCCGCGCTCGTTGTCGGGTTTTGCAAGTCAATAGGTAGCTGGTCCCAGCTTGGGAACTGAAAGTCACCTGTCTCGGGGATGATATCGCCAGTTTTGGTGCATGATTTCTCCTGGATGGTGGGCATGCCCACATCGTTGTCGACAGGGCAGGCCTGGGGGTCGAGAGGTGAGAAGGATCGGAGACCGACTTTTGCGCACTCGTAGACAGACTCTCCAGCAGCGGAGCACTGCGCAAGTAGTGGAGCCAGTACATCATCGGACCAAGGTGCTGCTTGCATCTGTGTGGTCGTGATCGCGGCATGAGATGCCAGGGAGCCTGGCGACGCTGACACTGAACCAGTGAGACCGGGATTACTCTGTGGCGATTGGCGCCCTGAGACCTGTTCCTGTGCGTGTGGTACAAACTTCAAGCTTCCCGCAAGTCTACAGTGGTAATCCAGGTGGCTGTTGTTGTTGACAGACAAGCTGCCAAAATCGAAATTGTTGATATCGAAGCTTGCATCCAGCTTGGTATTGGAGTGGATGCCAAGATCCTCGAAAACCTCATGATGGGCGTCGATGTCTGTAGAATATTATTAGCGTGAGAACTGGGACGTTGAACAATTACAAATCACGGTCTGGTGGCAAACATGACTTACTCGGGGTAGGGAGTGACGCATCGATGCTGTGCGCTTTCTTGAACAGATTGAGCCATTCCGGATTATCAGCTGCTGTCTGTTCCCAGCCATCTGCGTCGCTGTATAAGATCATGCGGGCCTCTCGCTGAAGCATCTCATCTGTAAGGGTGCCGGCGTTGCCGTGCTTCTCAATGTACTCGCGTGCGAATCGCCCGAGTCTGAGCGTTAAGATCTCCCAGCACGTGGCATTAGGGTTCACTTGTGCTGATTCGGATGCGGAGTAGTAGTTCGGTGTGGTAAGAACGATCGGTCCGATTCTGTTCACATCTCGGTCATCTTGATATGCAACGAACAAGTCGTTTGTTGGGCTGCTTCCACTGCTGAGCCTGCTGGGTATGAGATACTCCAGGTCTCTATTTTCGAGCCGCAATTCCCCCTGCTGTTTTGTGTTAGCCTGGTTGTTCCCGTGCTCCAGCGCAGCTACAGTTCAGTACAAATGTACGTCGACGTAGATGTAAGTTATTAGACTTACCTGTACGCTGGATGTATTGCTCGCAGAGAATGGGAAAGGAGATTTGCTTTCGTTGGCAATAAGATATGGAGGCATCGCGTTCGTGACATGGATAGCGACGTGAGCCTCCAAACCTCGACAGCCTTTCCACGTCTTCATATCTGCACCATTACGAAACTCCTTGGATAGATGATCGACACGGTCCTGCCATTTATCAAACTTCATTTGACAAAATCCGCAGCGAGACTTGATATATTGTGTTTCAGATTTCCAAGTCTCCATGCTAGCTGTCATCTTGCAGTCGTGCCTGTTCAATGTGAGTATACGTGCTTCGTTGGGATATTTCAAATACCACGTACATCAGCCGCAGATGCTGCCTCAAATGGTCTTTCCTATAAAAGGTCCGAGACTCGATGCCTTTGTCCTCACAAGCACCATGTTGGTGAGTAGCCAGATGTTCTTTGCTGGGGTCCAGCGCGTCGCAATAGACACACTTGCGTTTCCCAGTTGCCTTGTCGATGATGACCTCTCCTAGAGGTGCACATATCCACTTTTCCAGTGACAGGTGAAGGCTCTTCTCATGACGCTGCCAGTCATACTTCGACTTGAAACGATCCGTACAGAAAGTACATTGGAATGGCCGTGAATTGTCATTGGCATCTGCCTTCGGTGCACGTGTCGGAAGTCGTCGTCGCCTGCGCCTTTCCTTTGACTTCAAGCTGTTCAGCGATCCAAGAGAGTGTCGAGATCCATACGAGTAAGCCGAATTGTGGGAGCCGAGCGATCCTGATGACATGCCTGTGAGACCAGTCTCAAGAGACGAGATTGAAGGTGCTTTGAAGACCGAGAAGCTACCAGTGCTGCCGTTCGAGTTATCCTTTCGATAGCTGGTGCTAGCACTGGCTGTTGTGGGCGGGTCAAAAGTTTCAACAGCTTGAGCGATAGCAGTCATAGGAGCAGGTTCGTTCTCAGGGGGAGAGTGTTTCCATCGCTCGAAAGGATCTGTCGCGAGTTAACCAAAACAATTCTGCTGCTGCTGCGGCGGCGGCATTTGTGAGTAGCCGCTGCGCGAGCCTGAATCGCCACCACAACGTCCACTCTCTATACGGAAGGTCAAGAACCTCCCAGTAGTAGCGGACGCCATGAATTTATGGGCTTTGCCAGGCTCGGCCTTGGAATACGTACTGAGTGACTCCCAAGTTCGACCTGCCGGGATATCAATGGCTTCAGTCGAGGGACGAATGCTTGGTGATGAATTGCGTTTCGGACGAGCTTTTTGCCTTCGTCTAGTATTCGCCATCCAGTTCGATAACTGGCTGATAGAGAGTCCAGTCTGCTGCTTGAGCTGTTCCTTCTCCTCCTCGGTAGGATAAGGGTGGTCAATATGTTGCAACATCCAGTCTTTCAGGAGCTTGACAGCAGGTCGAGGAAATCGATTGGCAGCTGCGCCCTTCTTAGGACGCTCCTCATCCGCGATGTCATCTTCAATTGGACCCAGGTGACCCAGTGATCGCATCTGCTTCTTGCCAGTGAGCCCACCAAAGCAGCGCTCGTCATCCTCACCCACGACATCCAACGTGTCCAGAGCAGTCTTTTGCCTGAGAGCTGGCATCCTCTCCGGGTCGCTAAAACTGCATGGTCGGAAAAGAGCGTTGCAGGGTGAGCATCGAACTCGTCCCGTGCCATCTGAGTCGTAGATAAAACATTCAAGACCTTTGGACCGGCAATAATCACACGAATGAGTTGGCTTTTGGTATCGCGGAAGATGGGTGGAGAAGTCAGTGTTGAACTCTGATCCGTTGTTGGTGATGCTCTGGAGTTGCTCCTGGTCTAGGTAGCTGCTAGGTTTTAGCTAAGGTTATTCTTGGTGTGTGACAAGAGACGTGACAATCAAGCCGATGCCATATCGTGATGGGGATCGTGCTGTCATCTTGAAACAATCATAAAGTCCTGTCGAGGCATAGCGTGACTTACCCACTGCCGGAATGCACGTTTGACACATTTGTTTCTTGCTGCGTGTTTGACGAAGCCGCTTCCCCGAAATCGAAGAACTGGCCCAAATCGGAAGCGCCCGGGGTAGCCATGGTGATAGGCTGTTAATGCCGACCGTCCTAGGCGGAATGTAGAATGTCAACCAGCTTGTTGGTGGTGACAAGCACGCCTTTTGGTTCGGGGTGGAGGGAAATGACAATAAGGCGTGGACGCAGCACAGAGCGACTTTGGCGTGGATAAGAAGAGCAATTCCCAGCTTCACCTAGACCAGTCATATCATTCCGCGCTAGGACGACATGTCAAGTAGAGGGCGCAGTGCCCCGTGCGCAGATGTCAACGGATTAGCCAGACTTGCGGGGCTTCGATGCTTGACTCGAAATGTACAAAAGAACGGGTCTGTCAAAGTTACTGCTGACTCAGAAGTACAAGTGTACATAACATGGCAGATACCTGCATCTGGAGCCACACTCAATCAAAACCGACAACCGCAGGGCAGAGCCGACGGCCCTCAAACAAAGATGCCAGCTATACGCCCCTCGATTCTGACCAAATGTACGGTGGTTGGACGATGAGCCGGTAATTTACGATCGAACAACAAGACCGCGAGCGCCGATGCATACAGGGCCTAGCGGAGCTGACAAACCCCACTTCGGCTTATACAGATCCTGGCAAATGCGGAAGGCTAAGACGCGCTGCGTTCTGCGATTGGCGACAAGCAGTCTAGAAACTGGATGATAAGTCGATATGGGCTGACCACCATGTCTGAGGACTCTACGAGACGCATATGAAAGGCTCGAAAGTGGTAGCTCCTGCCTTAGACTGCTTACGAGTTAGAATATGAGCGTCATTCTGCGTGCTGCATGCTGCACAATCGGTGTTATATGATATTGATAGCGAGATTCTTGAATTGCATATGAGTGCGAGGAACGCGAGCGGTATTCATGTACAGGAGCTTTTAATGTCGAACATATCATGGATGGCGGTATCGGTGCTATGCAAGCCGGGTGTACCGGCGCTAAGTTATTCTTTGGTCCGATGCTCGGCAGGGCAAGTCGGCATGGAGGTGCTCCAGACGTGTTTGAGGCTGACCAAAAGACAGTGACTGCTGCTCTCGATGATATCTCGATAGGTCTCATCTGCATCTCAGCATATCACGACGACTTCATTTTGTGCTTGGTCCATATCACGACATTGGCGCTTGTTTCTGCATCAGCGACCCTGCTGTCGTATAAGCAATGGAAATTCCTTCACAGGACGACTTGCTCTCCAACCTCTTTCATGCAGTTCCTTCTGATAGATATCCTGTTGCGCACGGCGAA